TGGATACTCTCCCTTGGCACAAACAGCATGATGGCATGGCTCGCTGCTTTAACTACCATCTTCGACTTTCCTGTGGCTTTGATTCCGAAGTCCATCCATGGCACGACCCTGAACATGTCCAGGGCGTCATGGAAAATGATGCTTTCAAGCTTCTGTGGAATAGGCCCATATACAGCCTCAGAGGAATTTCTGCCTAAAACCTGATCTTGTCCGTTTTGATAAAGCCAATGAATTTATTTATATCATTGAATTTTCTGTCCCTTTTGACACCAATGTGATTGGCAAGATTCAGGAAAAGCATGATAAATATGCAGACGTCGCCTTTGAAATGGCTCACTTGCATCCCAAGTACACTGTCGTCAGGCTCCCCATTGTTCTCGGTGCCCTTGGTTTGGTACCTCCTGATGTCTTGGCGCAGATCAGGAGAGCGCCCGGGTTCTCCACCGAGAGCACAGCCCTTCTGACGCTCTGGGTAATGCAGAAGGCTGCAGTGTTGGGGAGTCTACATATTCTCAAGAAAGTTCCTGGTGGGCTCGACTAGGCAGTGTTTCCTGGGAGAAGTCCCATTCGCTGTCTGGGTTGCGTGAAGGGCAAGGGCCCTGAGCTGATGATGAGCCTTACCAGCCTGATTATGTCAGGATCACTCGAACCCTCTCTGTTGCATACTATTTTTAATCTGTAAAACATTATAATAATAATTCGGAGTCTATTCATTCGAATATTTTAATTTAATCTTGTAATCCAAATACGTACTTTTGTTTTCGAAAGAATTATATGGTAGTTTCACTGAGGGCTGATAGTTAGCATTATTGAAAAATATGCATTATGTATTTTTCGAGAAGTGTGGTGTGACATTGTGCCTTGTTCAGACCGTTACCAATGTATTTTGTGTCAAATAAATTTCTCTTTTTCTAATTTCAGTGCATATGTTGCTAGAAATGGTAAGGTCATTTATTATTAATTTTAGAATTATTGACAAATTGTCCAGACCGTTACTGTCCAAACCATTACCATTCTGCAGAGTAATGGCTTGGACAGTACATGTAACAGTCAGAACTAAAGTATTTTTATCTTGAGAAATTAATGAAGTTATTTATAAATGTTTGTAGAAATATAACAGATGTACAGTTACTTTAAGATTTAAAATAGTTTAAGCATTGCAATTTTACGGCTGAAAGGAGTTTTGATGTAGTAGCATAAAAACACCGATTCTAGTAACATTTTTTACAAATAATAGCAACGGTATGGGCATGTTGTTAAAGAATTCAATTTGAAGAATATAATCTATGGTGTGATAATGAATTTCTATTTATTTATCTATCTGCTTAAAATAATACAAACCCAACGATTTTATCATGTTAAGTTTCTATTCTCTATAAGATCAATAGCCTTTATGAATTAAAGGTATCGGTTAGGGAATCTATGGTAACAGTTTGGACAAAATGTAGTAACGGTTACCAACTTACTTGTATTCGAACCTTAAAGCCTTTGTTGGCGTAGTCCGTTTTGACTTTAACTGTGATATATGTAAGACTATCATTTACTTAGATTATTGCGTGTTGCTAATATGTTTGGAAAACCTTTGTATTTGATAAATATTTGTTACCATCTCATTATTAACAAATACCAAAGGTATCCAAGTTAATAAAAGACGTATACATCATAGAGACTAATATTGGCCCATAATATCAACAGCAGAATGATATCTGTGCAGTTGACCGTGTACCATAGTTGTTGCAGTACCTTTCAGAATTTAATCTTTTGCAATTTTTTAGAGGGATAACATTTGTTGTCACAACTGTTACTATTCATTCAATTTTCGTTCCCCAATTGCACTCTTATATAGATTATAAGTGATTTTCAACCTAGACAGGTGTGTTTTCTATTCTTTAGAAGCTACAGTTGGTTTTTATTCAAAAGTCTAAATTCATTCACAAGTTTCATATTGACATAACAAATGTGTAAACCGTTAACACAGCATGGAAGAAAGCATGTCATATTTGTTACAAGGTGCAATTTCAAATACATATTTCACTGTATGTCCAAAATAGGGTTAGCAGTTGAAGTAAATGATATCATATTTTCCTTTCATGTTACCTGTTTCTATGTTGAATTAAATTGTTTAAGGTTAATGTCCAGCCTGTTACCATTCCTGTCCAAACCGTTACCACTATTGTCCTAACCGTTACTATTGTTAATTGACAGCTATAATTAATTCATGATAATACATGAAACACTCCTCTTTATGATGGTGGCACCAAAAGATGTTCTGGGCATAGTAGTTGATGATTTTTAGACAATTTTACCTGTAGAAAGCTATGTACATAATAATGTTTTAGAAAAATGCTATTATTTTGTGGCAAATAAATGAAATATACAAAATAACACTTTCAAGATTCATGATAACAGTTTTGACCCTTAAGCTTGATTAAGTCTGTGTAAAAGCTGTGTCTGCCATCTTTCCCTTACTCTATTAATTACTTATGTATCAATTAACAGGTCAATTAGTATATTTGAGCATGCATGTTTGTATTTTTGAATAATTAAGTGTTTGAGATTTTATTTGAATAAGAATCGATCCACTCCCTCGAGTTCACCGGGCTGGTACAAATACCTCACGCTGATCCGACCAAATAGTTTTTTCCCTTTTCCTGACGTAATGGTCCAGCCGATTCCGCCGTGACGGATTTCATTTTAATGGCCTCGACGGTTTTTTTATCGAGGAGTCGCGTCACTTCGTTGTTGATCACCGACACCGACGAACCGATCACAGGTCACCCATTCCGTTGATCATTTTTCGGGCTTGGCCATCTCTTGGGCGTACTGGTGTCCGAACAAACGCTCGGCTAAGGGGCGGTTAAACCTTTCGGCGATGGCTTGGCTGCGGTGAGCTGCTGCTATACTGCGCCTGACCTGGACTTGGTGCTTCAACAACAGCTGTGACACGGCTCTCATTAATTTAATCTCTTGCAAGTTTCTGGAAGGATAACATTGGTTTGCACACCGATACTGGTACAATTTCTGATCAGCCACATGCTTTTTCCTTTGGATTATAGTGTTCTGTCAATCAGGACAGGTGTGTATTTCTATTGTTTAGAAGCTATAATTTGTTTTTATTCCAAAGCCAAAAATATAATCGGAAGTTTTATGTTGATTTAACAAACGTTTTAACCGTTACCACAGCATGGAAGAAAACATGGCCTAATTGATTCAAGTTACTATTGATAATACACATTTCTCTGTCCGTGAAAAATAGCATTAGCAGTTTGAGTAAATAAAATAATTTTTTCAGTTCATGTTACCAATTTCTATGTTGAGTGAAATTATTTAAAGTTTATTTTCAGTCCCTAGTACATTCAGTTGTTGGTGACCTATAGCCCATTTTTACATTGTATTGTCCAAAAATAATTTTAAATTTTATATAAAAATGCTACCTAGTTTTAACTCAATCTGTGATAATCTAGTGGTATTACTGTCCTTCGTTGACAGTATTTTATATATTATATGTATGTATTATGAATTTAGATCTAGTTCAGTCACAATATGGCTGAAATATTGATGATGTGACTTTAAGTCTTAAGTCACTCACTCACTCTATGTCAAACCCGTTACCAGTCGGGTAGATTATGTTACCAGTATGGCCCTAACCATTACAGGTGCTAATTGACCGCTCTAGTTAGTTCATGATAATAAAATGAAAAACTCATCTCCATGTTAGTTTCGTCAATAGTTGTTCTAGGCTAAGTAGCAGATGGACAATTTCACGTGTTGAAAGCTATATACATAATAATGTTTTAGAAAAATGCTATTATTTTGTGTTAAACAAATAAAAGAATACAAAATAACACTTTAAATGTTCGTGATAATAGTTTTAACATCATGTCAGAATAAATCGGTGTAAAAGCTGCGTCTGTCTCATCTTTAACGAATTTTCGGAATTATATTACAAAATCGTTATTCTGATTAAGTGGTAACGGTCAGGACTTTCCCGCAATCCATTAATCAATTATGTATCAATCAAAAGCTGATTTGCAATATTTGAGGATTCTTGATTGCATTTATGAATAATGAAGTGTTTGAGATGTTATTTCTACAAAACTATGTCACTTTTGAGGAGTTTGTTTTTACTGTAAAAAGGAATTGAAAATCCTACTAATTTTGAAAATGGCCAATAGATAGATAGATCGATAGACAGATAGGTGTGAGTGTGCAGTTTAAATATTTCACCGTAAACATATGTTCAGAACTGATCAATATCAGCAGTCTCTAACTATCTTTATTGGGTTGAGATTAATTTATATCATTTTGATTGAACACAGAAATAACGGCAAGTGAAATAACGACTACACACTGTCTGGGTAGTTTGGCATATATTATCCTTTATGGATACATAGGGAGTGTAGCACATAGTCATAATCATCTTGTAGTGGGTAAGTCTCAGCAGATCATATCATCTACATAGATAATTCGTAATCAATATCCCGGTGTGTATGAGTGTGTGCTTGTCCGTGTTTGAGTGAGGGGTGCGGGGTAGGATGTGGGGAGGATTGATGGAATTTCTTGATTGATGAGTGAGATACTAGAGGGAGGGAGGCTACGAGAGACAGAGAAAGAGGGAACGAGGGATAGCGTACGAGAGAGGAGGGGGGAGAGGAAGCAAGAGTGAGAAAGAGAGTGAGAGTGCTAATTGTGGATAAAACAAAGGGAGGCGGTTGAGTGGGGTGGGATTAAGGAGAGAGAGAGGGGGGACCGAGGGGAGGGAGGAAGATAATGATGGAGACAGGGAGAGACAGATCAGGAAGAGAGACAGATCAGGACGCAGCGAAAGAAAGGAAGGGGGAGAGGAAGAGAGAGAATAAGATGTGGAATGTTGGAAGATTGGGATTGAGAGAAAGAGGGAGGGAGAAAGGATTGAAAGTCATGAAGGCAGATTCCTAGTTCCTGCGCGCGGATACCACAAAATGAAGGACGTTGTACACGTGTAGGCGTTTCTGTTGTAGGATGAGGATGAGTTCACACAGAGAAGACACTGGTAACAAAGGAAAAGGGAAGGATGTGTAAAGTTTAGAATTGTACAATATACTTGGGAGCTGAACAGAAGCAGAATGGAAGAAGGGCAAAGATCGATGGATGGTAGTGACATAGAGATTGGGGGATGTACTCCAGCAGACACACCATCAGACGGGGAACATTTGGGATGTTCAGATATTGCCACTTGCAAGCCACACGGAGCAAGTGAAGAAGCAGGCATGGAGTATGCTGAAAACAGGGTTGTTGATGAAGAGAAAGACGGACTTCGTGTTGGCACAGAGGAGGAAGGGGATGGTTTACAAAACAAGTCACCACTTGGAGCAGGTACTATAGCGATCAAATTCCAGACTGTTCACCAGCAGTCACATCAGATTGTAGACAAAGCTAGGTGTCATACCAACGTGTAGATAAAGGTAGGTGTCACACCAACTTGAGGTTAAGGGATGTGTCATGTCCCATTGTAGATAAAGGCAGTGTCATACCAACTTGTAGGTGAAGGTATGTGTCAAACCAAATTGTAGATAAGGTTAGGTGTCACACCAACTTGTAGGTAAAGGTATGTGTCATGCCTACTTGTAGGTAAAGGTATATGTCATACCAACTTGTAGGTAAAGGTATGTGTCATACCAACTTGTAGGTAAAGATATGTGTCACACCAAATTGTAGGTGAAGGTATGTGTCACACCAACATGTAGGTGAAGGTATGTGTTACACCAACTTGTAGGTAAAGGTATGTGTCATACCAACTTGTAGGTAAAAGTATGTGTCATACCAACTTGTAGATAAAGGTAGGTGTCATACAAACTTGTAGATAAAGGTAGGTGTCATACCAACTTCTAGGGGTTAAGTTATGTGTCACACCAAATTGTAGGGGTTAAGGTATGTGTCACACCAACTTGTAGGGGTTAAGGTATGTGTGTGTTAATAATAGTTAATGATGCTTTCTTGACACATCACCAGTCACACCTAAATGAAAACTATAGTGATGTACGACAGATAGTATTTACCACTCCATTATAATTATCAAGGAATCACAGCATTGTATACTACTCACACTTTACTAAGGATCTAAAGAAATTCACGACTTTACGTAGATTAATACTGTTTAATTTGTATCCATTTAAAACTGGATAAATAATAATATGATAACCCTTCTATAGGCAGACAGCCACTTTATTCAAACCTTATGCACTTGATACATACATGAGTAACCATAAAAATGGTTTTCATGGCACCAATCAACCATTTTGCGAATCATGGATCGGGTCACTGACAACTAAACAACACCTGTCAATAGCAGGCATGGGATCCATAAGATGCAGTGACATACTGAAACCTAGGATCCATGCTTACAATAAGCTTAGATATTTAAACCCATAGTTTTCTGTTGAATTCATGATTTGATCCACAAACTGTGAACAGTATATTATGTTAGCGATGAATACCATTAATCCAATGATGAGTATTGTGCACCAGTGTTGCTTTTCGCGCTTTATAAACCTACTGACAGTTATCCCTGTGGTATTGTATATATCCTCATAGCAACTTTGTGAGAGATAATATGTTCAACAGGCACTTGCTGAAAGGTCTAATATTTGAGTTTTAGAACTGTTAGGTTTGAACTGGAAGTCGGGTTCACCAGTGCTACTTTTCCCTATGGTTTTGTAGGTATCTTGCTATCTTATGGTAACTTTGTGAGAGGTATTATGCTCAACTGATACGAAGTGGAACTAATCTATAATACACTCACCGCGCATGATACTATGTTATTTCTTACTATTCGGGTGGGTTATAGACACATGTGGCTCTATTTTGTCCACGACTTAGGTCTTGAAAACCCAGTGGTAGCACGACATACTGTCAGAGTTATGAATAGCCATGTGAGGAACAAACTAAAGCAAAATGAAATATGAAAAATGTTGATGATTTTGTACAAGAAAATCAGTTACCTGTAGTTAACTTAAAAGGTTGTTATGACGAAGGGTGGTCACTACTGAGGCTACTTGATCAGGTCACCTTGTAACAACTTTACAAACGTAACCTACATCTAAATACTATGTCATTTTATCCAAGTTAGTATTCATGCGACATTTTGTTCTGTTCTGTTCCAACTCTTGTCTGTTTGTCTCCTTCGTAGAAGCAATGTCACTAGCGCAAAACATTGTGGGATGTTGTCAGCCACCACAGGGAGAATTATCAGCAACAACACAGCAACAACAGCAACTCCAAGAAGCTTCACGTGATGATCCTGATGAAAGAATAGATCAGGCACATCTGTCCACAAGTACAACCTGTGTAGTTCCAAAGACAAAAACACTACAGGTCCCAGGAACAACGGCCCTGACGCTAGCGTCCACATCGTCTCCTTTGCCCAGAATACCAGGATCTGTTGTTTCAGACATACAACTGTCTGAAGTGCCAATGAATGGGGATTCTCCTGCAGGTGAGTACTTGTACATGCTAAACTAGGTCCTTATACAGTTCTGCAGTGAGTGTTGTGACTTGATAAATTAGGTAAAACCTTCAATATGACATTTCAAATATGATATGTACTTAAAGGAATATACAGTTGTATTTAAGGTGCACCTGCATGTTTGGTTATTTTCACAAAGGAAAACCACTACAAAAATGACTTGGTTTCCTGAAAGCTGGAAACCATCCGTATACTGGGTAAATGGGGAATCCAGTTGGTTTCCATTCACTGAAACTGAGTAACTGAGTGTCCAACTAGATTCCATTTTGGATTTTTTTATTTTTGCATTTCAGCAAATGGAAACCAACAAGAAACTAAGGTGATAGGTTTCTTGTTGGTTTCCATTCCTGGAATTTGCAATTGAAGGTTTCATGAAATGGAAACCAACATAAAACCAGAAAATGTAGTTCATGTTGGTATCCTATGCACTGTTTTGAACTGAATAACTTAAAATTTGCAAGTATTTGGCATGAAGTTGACCATCCTGACATCCAGTTGGTATCCATTCATTGAAACTGGGTAAACTAGTTTCCTAATGGAATCCATAATGGATACTGTAAACGTATAGTTCCGGTAATGGAAACCAACAAGAAACTATGGTCATGTGTATACTGTTGGTTTCCATTCCTGAAACTTAGTTTCGAAGATTAACTACTTTCATATCATATTACATTATCAGTAATTGCGTAAAATAATTATGAGGTCTTAAAATACAAAACGAATATGTCTGGGGAAGGAACAGCAGATTTACATTTGAAAGAGTGCGTACTTTGTAAGATTGCTTAGATGAACAAGAAGAAAGGTTACCCCAAATAGTTGTTGACGCATTGGTCAACTTTATATTTACCTGTTTTTGTTGAACCAAGATGTTGAGTGTTGTTGGGCACCAAATCACTGTACTGTTAGTATATTTGGATATATATGACACATGAAGTGTTTCACTTGTGTTTGAAAATAACTGTAAAGTCTGACAAGCCTAGATGAACAATCCTCAGTTATAAAATTTTATCATTTATTACAATCTTAACTGTTATTAAATACCAATTATTTATCGTCATTTCATATCATGGGGAATTTTGAAAATCTAAATAGATGGATTATATTCTACGATGAGTAAAGATTTTCACTGTAGTAATGAAAAAGCTTAAACGTCAAAAAGTGAAATTTGAGGGAAAACTCGGTTTAATTATTTTTGCTTTAGAATCTGAAAGAGTGTAAGAACTTAGGAAGTATATACTTAGTATAATGTAATTCAAACAATTTTCAATCCGGTACATATATTACGGATCTCTGAATAACTAGAATAGCAGGGAATTGTACTATGAATTGAGAGTGTGAGTAATGTTTACCGTTAAAAGCATTTAAAGTTAGTATAAGCTTTGACAGTGAGTTCAAAGTACTTGACAAACAATCAATGTCATGTCATTTGTATGTCGGGGTCTGTCTGTCGGCTTCCTTGGGGTTGTCTCGTCTTAACGGGCACCTATTATCAAAATTGAATTGCTGTAGAAGTAATGAGTCGGTAATCCGTGGGCACGCGCGAACTCGTGACATTTTATAAAAGTAATATTTTTATGTACTGATCTGGTCATTTTCGTTTTTTATGTCTTGAAATCACAACCAAATTGGGTCAGATAATGTTTTCATACCTGCCAATCAAAAAGGGATTAGGTATTTGTTATTACCCACAATGCCCCTACACAAAATTGCCGCCATTTTGTTACTTGAACTTATGAGAAGTTGTTTTGAAAGTGGGCCAAAGTGTCTCCCGTTTTTAACACAACAAGGAACCCAGCACAATGAATTATTCCTTCGCTTGTCCACGTTATCTGAGTCAAGAAAATGGCAATGCGAGTAACACTAGAAGCTTTGGAGGCTCGGGTACGTGAAAACTTGAAAACAGGAGCAGTCGTCAATTGCGGGGAAGAAAGGGAACATTCCACGACCATGTCAGGTACAGTGTTAATTTCTTGAATTAATCAATAGCCCAGTTATGTGTAACGTTGAATGTACATATATGATATTAAAGTTATAGACTTGATGGAACTCGATAAGCAATTGCGTGTCGAAATGTTGGCAAGAGATATGGCTTCCTTTACTTAGTCAACTCAAGAACTCGATTGAGATTTGGATCAGGTCACATACCACTAAATGGTTCATTATCGTCATGTATGAAATATTGTCTTTGCAAGAACAATATGAACCACAAATATATCCAGCAATGTCGCGACTCAAGATAACTTCCAAACGTATTTAGAAGTATTCGAATATTATTGGAAACAATATTTTTGGAAACTGTTTTTTAAAAGGTTTTCAAGTCAGTATAGGATAAATTACTGATATATGAGGTAATTTAAGTTAATCATCTGATGTAAACAATTTTACACTTAGAATGTCAAGATATTTAACTCAAAAAGTTTGCAAAGAAAATTGGATATATAGAACGTTTAATAGGATAGTTTGGGGATACATTGATGTACATTGTCAACCTAAAATTATATGAACTTGTTAAGTTTGCTTCTTTTGATATTAGCATATCTACACCTTGCAAATTGATATTTATTCTTCTATTGTCCCGCCATATAGCTGGAATATTGCTGAGTGCGGCGTAAAACTAAACTCACTCACTCACTCTTCTATTGTCACGCCTTATTGTTATCAAGAGTACGATATCTCTTAGAAAGTTCCTGATTTTCCCCTTAATTTCAATATTTCCAGCATGCCATTGGGGCAGTGTTGGAAAAACTGAAGATGACTAACTGGTCTTGACCTGCAACAGGTATGTGTAATCCAAACCCTCCAGTAAATGATGTACATAAAAATATTTAAATGATGTTAATCCTATGAATCAGAAAAATACAAAAAAATTACACAACCACTATTTTCGTAGCTTCCAACTGGAAATATTTTCCACTTATACACATCTCCTTCCAGAAGCAGTTTGGCGGTTTTCGACGAACAAGAAGACTAGAAGACAAAGAAATTGGAAAGCAGAGGCCTTTTTCCGCAAAGAACAACCAAAGATTCAGATGTGTAAGTAAATTCTAACCGTTCTCAATTCTAATCTTACACAGGTTAAACTTTAAGGAAAACCTTATTTGAAAACCATCAAGTTAATGTAATTTCTTGAAAATGTACACTGATATTCCAAAGAACTTTCAAAATAAACACTGTTTAAGACGTGCAGTGTATAATTAGAAATATGCAGCGCCAATGTACATCATGTTTTGGTCTGGACATATTTCACCTTGCACACATCAATTAAAAATTTATTAACAATACCCCACTAAATAGTAGCTGCAAACACATTGTCAATAGCAGTATGAGATATTAGTTATGGAGGTCCGCCTATGACCCCATTCAATTTCATTTCCGCCAGAATGACCCCACATTATTTTTCTTTAAAACCCAATTATTTCTTTTCACAGAATATTGGATAATTCGTAGTTCTATTCATATCAAAGCATAATGCATGTTACATTCAGAAAATAAGTTATAGCTTCCACATGAGAAATATAGGCAATGATAGCATGAATTTAGTGTGCATTCCTAAGAAATGTTATTAATCCAATGTCAATGTTTTCAAACTGAATTGAGTATTTAGTGAAAGAAATCTTTTTTGTCAGTCATCAAATGAACAACTCAAGATAAGGAAATAAGTCCTTCTATCGCTTGTCTCTCTACTCTTACAAATGTCATTAAGCTCTTCTGCGATTGAAAATTTTGTCACTTTTCAGGGCAACTGATCAGTTTTGATTTATTGAACTACGTGCTTATTGGACAGTGGTTAGTGTTTATTTTTCCTCAAGCTTAAGGAACATTGGACAGTTTTCCTTTCTCCAGCTAGCGATATTGTTGACGAATGCTTGTTTGTACTGATTGTTTATTGTTTTTAACTTTCAGAAGCTGGAAAACAGGAGGAAGGTCCTCACAACGATTACCTGGCCGGAGAAGAAACGGAAAGTTATTCCTCTCTTGGGGAAAGAGTTAACATTTCTCAAATTGGAAAACCAAATAATATGGATTCATCTACATTGATGAGTTTAAGTAAACATCCCATACTCACTGCCATTTATTCCCTTATTGCTTCTAATTATTTATGCATTTTGAAAATTCAGTTTTTATTAATGTGAACATTCCAAATATCAGTTGTTTATCAGCAAACTGTTGAATGTAAATAAAGCTATCATTTTATTCTGTTATTTGTCATCCTGGCGGTTTTACCATTGTGCAATTGTATAAAATACCTGATTTGGTATGTGTGTTGCATGAAACACAACCTATTTTCTGGAGGAGCAGGTAAGGGGCAGCACAACAGAACCAGTTTCATGGAAATAAGTTATAAGCTGGGAGCAAGGTTGGAAACAACAGGATAAGCACCAACAGGAGCCTCCATGGACGAGTGGGCAAAGTCCCGACATTGATATTATCCAGATACTGGTGCCAAATGTAGTTTCAGTTTTAATGGAAACTAGGTTATAACTTGGAAACTAGGTTGAAACCTACAACTAACTAAAACATGTAAACCAGGTTGAAACCTACAACAAACTAAAACATGGAAACCAGGTTGAAACCTACAACTAACTAAAACATGGAAACCAGGTTGAAACCTACGATAAACGGAAAACGGAAACCAGGTTGAAACCTACAATAAACGAAAACACGGAAACCAGCTGGATCTGGCTTGGAGGAGGTGTAATGAATCGCACTGGAAACCACCCGGAAATGGTGGAAAATTCAGTTTCAGTTTTCATGGAAACCACAATGAAACTATAGGAAACCACAATGAAACTATAGGAAACCACATGGAAACCAACTGGAAATGGTGGTTTCCATGTCGTTCCCTCTCAGTTTCAGTGTTCCGGAAACCAACTTATTTTTGTAGTGAACGTTTCCGGGGAAATCAAGGTCCCAAACATTGTGACGATCATTGTGAAAGTTAACCTGCTGATGTTTCTGTGCTTTGAATGTTTCGCAGGGCTGTACATAACCATGGAAGTGTGTTTAACCTCACCACAAATGTTTTTCATACTCAATTCAGTTTTATAGAAGCAATATGTACTTGGTAATCACTCATTTGAATGTTGATGTCAGCACATCTTTTCAAAATCATCAGCAATATCTATAATATGTGTAAGAGAGAGTTGATATTTAAGGTCACATCGGCAACATTTCAGCCATATCGTGGCTAAAACTAGTTTTAAATTCATAATACATACATAAAATATATAAAACCCTGTCAACAAAGGACAATCAAATTACTAGATTATCACAAAATGAGTTAAAACTAGCTGACATATATCTTTAAAAGTAGAAAACTAGTTTTGGACAATACAATGTAACAATGGGCTATAGATCATCAGCAACTGAAGGTAGATCACCATACTTGGGACCGTTGGGTCTAACAGTGCCTTTGCTACCTGCATGGACCCTAGCTGGATTTGCACCATCCCTTCAGCGACTGGCGATTGTAGTGAAATCTAGGCATAATTTAAAATTACAAAAATACTTCCTTAAAATCTCTGGTAAGTATGCACGTACCTTGAATGTTTTGGGACAGGAGGACAATAATTGTACAATACTTCAACCGACTGTGAAGATACAGCCACTAGCAAACTATACTACCCATCAAAAGTTTAGACTCACTTAAATCAATATCTATATGTTATGTACGCACATATGGTTACAACAAAGATGAATTTCTAAACAACTTGGGTGAAACATCTGCAAACCTTTTGCAGATTTATTGCACAAGGACCATGAATCAAATTGCTGAAAAGCATGTGCAAATATCGTGCATTTTAACAGCTGCGTTTGATGTAAAGTTTTGATAAAGAATCGCCATTTCTCGCCGAATTTCATCATTTTTTTAACACATGACAATAAAATTTTCAACGTCCCGAATTTGTTTTACAACACATCAGCTCATGTATAAACTGTACCTTCAAACTCTATGGGTTATTTTACAAAATCTAGTTCAGGACAGTTGACTGAAGTAAGTGGCTACATTTACACTTGGTAGTCTAAACTTTTGATTGGGAGTATAAGTTGCAAATTTAAACTACCCATGATAAAACATAAATCTATACACAAACATATCAGTCAAAATTTATCAAGTAATATCGATCATATGTAACACATCTATGACAGCTTCAGTCATGTGGTTTCTGTTACAGTCACACAGTACAACCTTATACAAGTACAGCAGAAGTTTGGAGATGTGACAGTGAAGGGCGCTGAGAATCTGAACATTGGCGGAACTCAGAATGTCGGTACAACTCCGACCAACAAAGAGGAAGAAGAGATACCACTGACTGCAGCACAGAAGATCAGGAGTGAGTTATTTGACAAACATGTTTTCAATGATTGTACATATGGTGACAGTGTAGGATTAACCCAGACCATTAAAAAGAGAATCTCACCCAAGTGTCTACTGATATCGATTACATCAACACAAGTTGAAAATGTTACGAATAACTCAGGATTGCCGAGGACAGTTTTGCTTCTATCAACGACTGAGATTCTATTTATTTTCAAAAATCACTCGTTATTAGTTTTCAATAACGTCTCTGAACACGGTACTTCCATTAGACGTTCAGTGCAGCGATGTCATAGCTTTCTAGATGTCATCAAGTTTTTGACATCATAACATTGTGAGTCATGTAATTTATGACGTCAGGGCATTGCACAAATCTACGGTCAACATGATATCTCCTGGAATATCCTGCCCATATTATAACAACTATAGAATATTATCTATATAACCATACCGCCCTCGTTAACCGTTTATACTTGCCAATCAATTCTGGAGGTCGGGGTTTGATTAATGTGGAGGGTCTTCATGATAGAATTTTATTGTGTACTTTTGCACATATTTATTTATCGGATGATCCTCTGGTGATGCATGTGAAGACTCATGATGAAAGCAAGGAATTCCACAGCTATTTTAAGCGTACCAAGGTTGTTGGACAGATTCCGAGATTTCAGGTTGATATTGTTGATGGCGATGTACTGCTGGACGGTACAGTGATGGGAGTAAACCAGGTGAAGTCCTTCACCAAGTCTGCCCAGAGTCGGTCTTTTGTGGAGAAGCTTTCTGAGAAGCCATTGCATCGTGTGTACATGCAGTGTGTTGAACGGAATAGCAATCCCACCGACTCGTTCTCCTGGAGGAAGTCGGCTGGTCTTAAATGTGAAACTGAGGGCTTCCTTTTGGCTACTCAGGACCAGTCACTTCCCACTCGCAATCGCTTAAATGTGATTCTTAAAGAAAATATCAATATGTAATGTCGACTTTGCAATGAATTCACGGAGACTGTCCAACATCTTGTCAGTGGATGCCCTTCCATGGCACAAACAGCATATCTTAAACGACATGATGGCATGGTTCGTTGCTTTTACTACCGTCTCCGACATGCCTGTGGCTTTGACTCCGAGGTCCATTCATGGTACGACCCTGAACAGGTCCAGGGCGTCATGGAAAATGATGCTTTCAAACTTCTCTGGAATAGGCCCATAAACAGCCTGAGAAGAATTCCGGCCAAGAAACCTGATCTTGTCCTTTTTGATAAAGCCAATGAATTTATTTATGTCATTGAATTTTGTGTCCCTTTTGACACCAATGTGATTGGCAAGATAAAGGAAAAGCATGATAAATAAGCGGAACTCGCCTTCGAATTGTCTCGCTTGCATCCCAGGTACACTGTCGCCAGGCTCCCCATTGTTCTCGGTGCCCTAGGTTTGGTACCTCCTGATCTCTTGGCGCAGATCAGGAGAGTGCCCGGGTTCTCCACAGGGAGTACAGCCGTTCTGACACTCTGGGTAATGCAGAAGGCTGCAGTGTTGGGGAGCTTTTATATTCTCCGGAAAGTTCTTGATGAGTTCGACTAGGCAGCATTTCCTGGGAGAAGTCCCATTCGCTGGTTGGGCTGCGTGTAGAGGGGGCAAGGGCCCCGAGCTGATGATGAGCCTTACCAGTCTGACTGTGCCAGGATCATCCGAGCCCTCTCTGCTGCATATTATCTTTAATCTGTAAAACATAATAATAACCAATATCTAGTCACCCACTTGTACCAAGTTTCGTATGTAATACCGATTGTCTGTAAAGATAAAGGTAAATAAAGAATCTGAATCTGTATCTGATCTCACACAATATCTACAGTAGAACACGTTTTTGGAAGATAAAATCTGAGTACACGCCTGCAAGGGTAGTGTAGCACTGGATATGCTAAATTTCTTTCAATCATTTAACCTTAAAGATCAGTTAGGGTTAGATCTGGGCCTCCTTCCACAAAGCACTAAGGTGATCGTAAGTCACTAAGGTAACCTTAGTGCAATGTCAAAGAATGGGAGTTAAGGTTAACCTTAGGAAAGGTTGCTTCGTGAAATGAGCCCCTGGTCTTCAACAACACATGTTTGTCGTAACTTGTGACTAATGAGATGTGACCAATGAAACTCTGCCGTAACAGAGGTATTTCAGTGAACCGCTTGGAATGAAAGTGTGCAAATTGGAACAATACTTCTAATTGTAAACAGAAAAAAGTTGTTTACAATATATTCAGTTACTAAGACAGAAATTAACACTGACTAAACACAAACATGTAAAGGGCAAAAAAGGTTGTACTCTACAACATTTTTCAGACATCAACCTGATCAAACGATAGCCTGTCCGTGAAATTAGATGGAAAAAGAATATGTGGTTGAGCATCATCAATGTTTCACAGCTTAGTGACAAGATTAATAGACTCAAAGGTCAAATGTTTTAAATAAGACAAACATTAATGATGAGTGGCATCGAACCTGGCATATACAAATGTGCCATAGCACAAACGGGGATATTGACGGATGTTCACAGTGTCTATAACGAATGGGTCCACCTTGTGCATTGATGCAGATCTGGCACCATTGCATCACTGATGCCACTAAACCCTCCTAATAGTCATTCCGAGGAAGGACTTGGCGGTGTTCCCTGGAGGATTCGTATGACGTCGGGAACGTTACTTCATTATCATAATAATGATAATAATTCATTTATATATCTGACTAGTTGCTCACTGGACGCTGTAAGACTAGTTGCTCACTGGACGTTGTAATGAAAATCTGAATCTGAATATTATACCTCTGATAACCCAAGCTGCCTGTTAGGCGCTAGAAGGTTATAGTCACATGACTTTATCCAACCGAGTACCCATTTTCTGCTGGATGAACAAAGGCAATTTTGAAAAACCTCACTTACCTAAGGTGAGACTACATGTATCAGGACTGATGTCCAAGAAACTCTCAGGAGTCAAGCTGCCAAACACGGTCACCCATCCAGGGACTCACCGAGCACGACTGATTCGTGACCTGAGCTCTACGCACAGGACCACACACCACAACTCCAAGTGTGTTCAATGGGAACAAATTCGAGGATATCGCTGGCCAGGCCATAGGCGAGTGGATGTCATCAAACTGTTACCATAGATGCTGCTGTATTATCAGGTATCGGTGCAAACTAAAATGGTTGCTGGCTGGGCCCTGTGTCAACTTCACGGTTCAACGTTATTGGTCTTGACGTGTGGTTGTTACTGGTGGGTAACTAATACATCCGTAGTCTACATATTGACAGTTTTGCTAGAAAAAAACTTCGCCTTAAGCGTCAAATAGAAATTCTGTGGACGTTGAATGGACGATATCTATGTATATCTCTCCATCTGGCACCTTCCTCGAGGCGTGACTTTGTTAGGCTTCAGTTTGGGTGAGATATTCTCAATTTGATAGGTTATCCGACTGGTTATTGGCTTCGTCTTGTTATTTGCATTGCCTTACACATGACATCGTACGTTTGATTATTCTTTATGCAATTCTGTCGTCTGCTATTTCAACAAATGCCCGCAATTAGGGTGTTATCATTTTATGATGCTTAACACTATTTTGAGAAACCTTACATTGGTGGTTAAAGTGTTTGCTCGTCCTGCAGTAGACACGATTTCGATTACCCGTTTGGCTCGTCACGCCAAAGACCCGGGGTTCAATTCCCCACATGGGCACAATGTGTTAAGCCCATTTCTGGTGTCTCACGTCGTGATATTGCTGGAATATTGCTAAAAGCGGCGTAAAACTAAACTCAGTCAGTCAGTCGATTCCCCATATGGGGACAATGTGTGAAGCCCTTTTCCAGAACAAGATGTTGAAATCCTACGTTTGTTAGCTTTTACACATATTTTGGTCATATATGTGTTAAATATGCCTCGTTTCCACAGAAAGGACGGCATCCAGGATACAGTCATGGACTGAAGACATGGTGGAGACAGACGCCCTCAAGAAAGTGAAAGAGAAGCTGGACAGAGGAGCGACCTGGGTGACAATTAAAGGAAGACCAGGAGAGGGTAAGTCCACAACAGCCTACATGGCTCTCAAATACCTACACACACTGGGGAGACAAGTATACCAAGTGGTGTCACCAGAAGAGTTCAATGAGGTGATAACGGCCTGCGTTAATCCTGTCATTTTGTTAGATGACATATTTGGTGATCTGGAATTCGACGCTGCACAATGGACCAGGTGGAGACCAAGTCTTCGACCAATTCTGGATGTTAAGCATCCTGACAAATATGCTGGAAAATATGCCTTAGGTATTTCTACCAAACCTGAAAAGGTTCTAGAGAGGACAAAAGTTGGTCAAACACAGGTGAAAAGTCCAAACAAAGACAAAACTATCATTATCCTCGTAGGCCGTGACTATGTGCTGAATTCCTCATTGGCAGACTTGGGAAGGATGGCAGATTACATTTCTAGTCCCCAGTACTTGGTGGAAGTTTCCTCACAGAGAGGCTCTTATGAGCGAAGGCAAATATGGCGTGTTCATGCTGGAACAAAAAGCATACACTTTGAAGACTCAACTGTGTCTTCGATATGTGAGATAGACTGCCCACACGGCTTCCCCCATGTATGTAAAATGTCTGTTGCAGCATATGAAAAGGATTGGACTCCACTTCAAACGCAGATGTTTTTTCAAGCACCACTGGATTTCCTCAGAATGACTCTGGAGAACTTCGTTAAAGATGAGATAAAGCGTTCTCTCTTCATGGCTATGATTAAAAGAGATGGGAAGATTAGTGGACAAGACTTGGAGGAGGATGATAGCCTCGGTTATGAAGGCAGAACAGCTGCTGATGATATGGTTGGATCTTACCTCAAGAAGGAAGACGACACCTTCATGTTTGATCACCCGTCTATATATGACAGTGTTTCCTTTATTCTAAGTACAAAACTGTCGAAGTTTGTCATAGAAAATTGTAGTTTGTCCTTTATAAATCAGCGACTTCGTCTTGCACCCTCCATAGAAAAAACGGGAAACGCCGCCTGTGAGACAGGCGTGGTTGCAAACATCTCGTGGACGTATGCTGGACATTTAGCAAGAAGATTTGCATCTGAAATTAGACAGTGCAATTTGTCATATGTTTTATCACACCAGGCATTTTGTAATTCAGACTTTGTTGGCTTGCTAATGGACTGCCTGAAGACCCAGTTTCACATGCGTGTATCTGATATTGTGAAACTAACTGATAACTCATCCAACAAGTCATTTTGTGAATTACTCTCCAGCAACAAGTCACATCATCTCATCAAATATATTGTGGAGACAGAAAATATCTCCTTCTCCCAGAGTGAAGGAAAGGACATTTTACTGGGTGTGTGCAAATATGCTGCGTGCGATATACTCAAATACATCAGTGGATATATGAAAGTTGAGATAAATGCTACATACGGTCGGGAGAAAGAGACGCCGCTTATGCTGGCAGCAAAAACCAGGGACAGTGTGTTTGTCAATCAGATTATATCTCTTCATCCTGACCTGAATGCAAGAAACGAGTTCGGTCAAAGTACGTTTTATTATCTTTGTAAAAGAGGCCTCACATCGGCTGTGGCCCATGCAATTGACATGGGAGTGGAAGTTAATCAGGATCATGGGTACGATGGACACCCTCTATACCATGCCATAGAGGAAGGCCATTTAGAGATTGTGAAACTGTTGGTTAACAGAGGATGTGATATAGATAACCAGAAAGGTCTTGCATGTGCTGCTAGTAGCCTGAACACGAACATGGTACGTTATTTTCTAGACAGAGGAGCAGTGATTGACGGCAGTGTTGTGTGCAGAGCTTGTGTGGTCGGTAACGGGAATATAGTCGAGATGCTGTTTGAGAATGGTGCTACTGTTAATACGGTGTTACCTAATGGAGACACTCCTCTACTCAGTTCATGTGACGGAAACCCAACAGTTGTCTCGAGTTTGCTGACGAAAGGAGCAAGTGTCAATCAAGCTTCAAATGTTACAGGTGACACACCACTTCATAGAGCAGCCAGACGAGGATCTACACAGTGTATTGATGTGTTAGTGAAGGCTGAAGCTGATGTTAATGTACATAATAATACAGGTGACACACCACTTCATAGAGCAGCCAGATGGGGATTTACAGAGTGTGTCGATGTATTACTGAAGGCTGGAGCTGATGTTAATGTACAGAATAATACAGGTGACACATCACTTCATGCAGCAGCAGCAGAGTGGGTATCTACAGAGAGTATTGACGTGTTACTGAAGGCTGGAGCTGATGTTAATGTAAAGAATAATACAGGTGACACACCACTTCATACAGCAGCAGCAGCAATTTGGGGAGGTACAGAGCATGTTGGTGTGTTAGTGAAGGCTGGAGCTGATGTTAATGTACAGAATAATACAGGTGACACACCGCTTCATAGAGCAGTAGCAACAGGGAGGAATTATACAGATAAGGTTGGTCTGTTACTGAAGGCTGGAGCTGATGTTAATGTACAGAACAATACAGGTGACACGCCACTTCATAGCGCAGCAGCAGAACGAGGATCTACAAAGTGTGTTGATGAGTTACTGATGGCTGGAGCTCATGTTAATGTTCAGAGTAACACAGGTGAAACACCACTTCATAGAACAGCAAGACTGGGATCTACAAAGCGTGTTGATGTATTAGTGAAGGCTGGAGCTGATGTGAATCTAAAAAACAACACAGGTGACACACCACTTTCTGCAGCAGCAGCGTGGTGGGGATCTTCAGAATGTGTTGATGTGTTACTGAAGGCTGGAGCCGATATTAATGTAAAGAGTAATACAGGTGACACACCACTTCATAGAGCAGCAAGACGGGGATCTACACAGTGTGTTGATGTGTTGGTGAAAGCTGGAGCTGATGTTGATATACATAGTAATACAGGTGATACACCACTTCATAGAGCAGCAAGACGGGGATCTAAACAGTGTGTTGATGTGTTACAGAAGGCTAGAGCTGATGTTAATGTACAGAATAATACAGGTGACACACCACTTCACACGGCAGCAGCAGCAGAACGAAGATGTACAAAATGTGTTGATGTGTTACTGAAGGCTGGAGGTCATGTTAATGTTCAGAGTAACACAGGTGACACACCACTTCACAGAGCAGCAATGTGTGGATCTACAGAGTGTGTTGATGTGTTAGTGAAGGCTGGAGCCGATGTAAATGCACAGAATAAGACAGGTGACACACCACTTCATGCAGCAGCAGCAGACCGGGGATCTACAAAGTGTGTTGATGTGTTACTGAAGGCTGGAGCTGATGTTGATCTACAGAATAATACAGGTGACACACCACTTCTTAAAGCAGCAGCAGGATGGGGACCAACAGAGTGTGTTGATGTGTTAGTGAAGGCTGGTGCTGATGTTAATATACAGAGTAATACAGGTGACACACCACTTCATAAAGCAGCAGCAGAACGAGGATGTACAAAATGTGTTGATGTGTTACTGAAGGCTGGAGCTCATGTTAATGTTCAGAGTCACACAGGTGACACACCACTTCATAGAGCAGCAAGATGGGAATCTGCAAAGTGTGTTGATGTGTTACTGGCGGCTGGAGCTGATATCAATGTACAGAATAATACAGGTGACACACCACTTCATAGAGCAGCAAGATGGGAATCTGCAAAGTGTGTTGATGTGTTACTGGCGGCTGGAGCTGATATCAATGTACAGAATAATACAGGTGACACACCACTTCATAGAGCAGCAAGATGGGAATCTGCAAAGTGTGTTGATGTGTTACTGGCGGCTGGAGCTGATATCAATGTACAGAATAATACAGGTGACACACCACTTCATAGAGCAGCAAGATGGGAATCTGCAAAGTGTGTTGATGTGTTACTAGAGGCTGGAGCTGATATCGATGTACAGAATATTACAGGTGACACTACACGCCATACAGCAGCAAGATGTGAATCTACAGCGTGTGTTGATGTGTTACTGAAGGCTGGAGCCACTGTTAATGTACAGAGCAATGCAGGTGCCACACTTAATTAAGAATCAAGGCGGGGATCTACAGAGTGTGTTGATGTGTTACTGAAGGCTGGAGCCACTATTATTGTACAGAACAGTGTAGGCGCCACACTTCATTCAGCAGCAAGACAGGGATCTAGAATCTAGATTAAATAGACATTCGTGGATTTCAATGATTAGGGCAGAACATGTGGTATCTAATTGCGTGTGAAGATGAGTATTGTCGCACTGTCTGTGATATCTGTAACTGAAGTATTCATTTACAAGCTGTTATATGGCAACAGACATCCATTGTTACACGTGGTTAGTTGCAGGCGATCACAATCTCAGGCTATTTTACCCTGAAGCCCGGGCATGTCAATACTTCCTTCTCTTTCTCTGATGAAACCAATATTGAATTTTGTTGGCGAATTGGAATTGGAAACAACTTTTAACAAGTCCAGTGCCTTCAGGCATTTAGCCTTAAGGTATTTATGCGGCAAAAAAGTCAAGTGCTAGTCGAAAATAATACCCAGAAACTTAGCTTCCTTTAGAACCTTGATAGGTGTGCAGTTAAGAAATAGTTCAGGGTCTTTATGTGGTTTGTATTTACGGCAGAAATGTATGCAATTAGTTTTGGACTTTGAAAATTTAAAGCCGTTTTCTAGACACCATGTATGTATTTTGTTTAGACACAACTGCATTTGCCGTTCAATAGTATGCACATTTTTACCACGACAAGAAATATTAAAATCATCCACAAAGAGTGATCTATCAATTGAATCATTTAAAACTTTTAATAAACTGTTGATCTTGATAGTAAATAAAGTCACAGACAAATACTGCCTTGTGGGGCACCCTGATCCTGATTGTAATAGTCAGACAGGGTAGAACTCACTCGGACTTGAAATTGTCTTCTAAAAACTGTGATATATATTGGGGTAGAAGACCCCTCGAACCAAAATTATGGAGATCTTTCAAAATGCCATACTTCTATGTGGTATTGTAAGCCTTTTCAATATCGAAAAAAATCGATACATCATGTTGTTTATTTATCAGGGAATTTTTAGTGAAAGATTCCAATCGTACTAAATGATCGACGGTACTTTTCGGAAACCACATTGAATGTCAGTGATGAGATTGTTGGTTTCCAGGTACCAAATTAAACGATTATTAACAATATGTTCCATTGTCTTACAAACACAGCTAGTTAATGATATCGGTCTGTAATTAGATGGATCAGTATAATCCCGACCAGGTTTAGGGCATTTCGCAACGATGATGGGAAATTCCCAGCAGTCGCAAGTAAACTAGTAACATTAAAGCTCATTTCATTGGGTAAGTCCACTTCAGTGTCGGGTAGATCAGCTAGCAATCAAAGTATAAGCCCAGGTATTTTAATGATTGGCTAATTTTGAATTAGGTGTCCCACTTTCAAACCCTTTGTTTTCCACATTTGCATTCTTGTCACTTGCACTTACAACTTGCACTTGGACACTTGGAGAGACACAGGACCAGAAATTAAAAGGGTTAGTTACTATTATGTTCTTTTTATGCCATTGTAATGTATAAATCACTTCGTGTAAATATATCTATATAAGATTAATGTTATGTTTAAACATGTCACATATACTTTGTGTGTGTGTGTGTATGTTGAGTGTATGTATATAAGAAATACCATATCTGATTGTATGTGTGGTTTTGGTTATCTGGCAGTATTTTGTATTGTTTATCACTGAATTGATAATAGTTTAGATGAAATATTTCGATGTGTAAATAGATTAGTACTCATGGTATGTTTTATATCATGAACAGGTTCTAGCAGATTATCTTGAATACGGACAACAACACCCCCGTGGGAATCACAGGGTACATATGTTTATATATATTTGTGTAGTATAATTAATTGAATATAACATCATGCATGTCATGCCATATCCGTATTGCATGTGTAACTTCAACGACCGCAATATGTCAAGCTTATATAAAGTAGTGATGTCTGTATCACTTATGATTATGTAGAATTGTTGCTTTTATTTGTCAGATTGTGAGATGAACTGTATTCTTTTTATCTCATTCCTTGTTACAGGGTGTCAGGTCATCAGTGTCAGTTTGTCGTCATCAGTTTGGTCATCAGCAAATAAACAGTTTGCACACCCTAGCCTGTGTTATCGTGACTTCCACAAGACACTTTGATGGCTATTACATACAAATACAACATGCTGGATCTTTGTTCTTCCAAAATGTCATCCCTCAGTCATGTCAGCAAGTAAACGACCACTATCTCGCACTATCCCCTTGCAGCTGTTCAAGGATCGGTGTGGGAAACCACAACTTGAACATTTGCGAGGGTCTTGGTGAAAAGAAGATTGACAGCCTGTTTCTGACGTCTACATTTAATAAGTAGACAACCACTGCGTAATATTTTGGCATCTTCAACATCGCCAGCAATGCCCTGAATAGCCTTCTCAATGGCAACAGGATTCAACTTGAGTGGAGTGCCATCCTGAGGTGAGATAACCAAGAATCTGGGCCAGTTGTCAAAAGTCACAGAAGGCGTTCTCGGCCTATCTGCATCACACAAATCATTGGACTCATACGAACGTTTTTTCATTGGGGGTTCCAGGGGTATATACTCAAGTAGAAATATTTAACAAATACTCTACCAGATTGGCCACCACCTTCTGGGCATGTTAGACTCTAGGCAAGTAATTTTGTATTTGTTTGCATTAAAAAAATGAAGAGTTCAAGTACATTTTTACCAAGTTCATAAAGTAATCAATGAATTAAATATAAGGTGTGCAAAACAAGATACAATGCACAGTGCTTGGCATGACCAGCAGATTGGTTGAACCGGGCCGATTCAACCACCCGTCTAGGTGAAGTAAGGGGCGAAGTGGTGTGTTGGGCAAAGGAACACTGATCCTGGAACCAGTGCCCTCAACCACCAGCCTCCCGTCCTCCACCGACACAGGGCGCAACCCACGGCAAACAGGTTGGTGGATCAAATATCCCCCCGGGTCCACAACGGGGGCTGAAGGGCGCTTAGCACGAGGAGGTGGCCCTTCATGGGTGCCACTTCCTCCAGGAGAACGAGTCGGTGGGATTGCTATTCCGTTCAACACACTGCATGTACACACGATGCAATGGCTTCTCAAAAGCTTCTCCACAAAAGACCGACTCTGGGCAGACTTGGTGAAGGACTTCACCTGGTTTACTCCCATCACTGTACCGTCCAGCAGTACATCGCCATCAACAATATCAACCTGAAATCTCAGAATCTGTCCAACAACCTTGGTACGCTTAAAATAGGGGCAATGTGGTGTGTTGACAACGGAATGCTATTGAATCAATCAAATCAAAGTGTCTTCTGTAACTTACCTTTGTCCCAAGTGGAATGTCTGCCTACGTAAATACTTTAAATTATTTCCGCAATACTTTCACATCATTAATTCATAAACATAATACTGATGGCATACCACATTGATGTGGAAGGAGAGCTATCAAACCTGTGACAATACTAGAGCTCGTTCCCTCCTTTTTGCCGTAACCAACTGTATCTGTGGTGTAAGTTGTGCATCTCAAACATTTGTGAAAGTAAAAGGATTAGAATGAAGTGTGTGGTCAACAGCCAACCCCTGTTAACGATGTACTTGGTATCTGGAGTGTTAATGGGACAACTGCAGCTGGTAGATTCTATAAGCTTCACGACCATTGGACATCAAGTTATGTCTTTCCAAGTGTATACAGTTTGGATGTCGAGGTATCCGAAACAACATCGATACTCTAACCTGTCATCTAACAGACAGGACAACGGAGATGATTTCTGAGGAGACTGAAACCTTCATTGATCCTACACATATCTCAGATGTAAGTACTGTACACAATACCTACGATTACTTTCTCTGTTCGAATATGGCTATCTGTATGTATTTGCACATAACACTTCTACCAATTGTGTAATAAATATATGTCTGCAAATCAAAAGCAGATAAAAGTAGTGATACTAGTATGTTCATTTCAATTTAGATTGTGCAGATCGGTTATGGTTGATGGCCTGATGCAATGCGCGAATATTGAGATATGTCTCCTGTAGGCTAGACATGCTTACCCTTACCCCGAAAACCTTGTAAGTGAGTGAAGATTTTAAGTCACATTAGCAATCAATATGTCAGCTATATCATAATAATAATTTTACAGTACTTCAACCATGTCATATATATTGTTCGCGACTGGAGGTCAATTTAGCCATAATATAAAGTGACACAAAAACTACGTATACAAATTATGGTAAGCTTAACTTTGCTTTGAAAGTTTTGGGACTTACATGCCCTCTCAGGCGGACAATAACTTTACAGTAAGCCCCTTAAGCAGTTGCTAATTTAAACTACCATTTTTTTTAAAGAAAAGACATTTATACATATGAAAAACATTGTTCAAAATTTATCCAGTAATTCTATTTCCTTTAGCTCTTTAGGTCTAAACTGTTTTCATAACGGCGTTCAGTGAACGAGGAACATTTGAAGTGACATTGTTGCAACTCATCAAAGACTGTTGCTTTTTATGACGAGTGAGTTAATGCTTTGATTTGAATTGCAGTGGCTGAAATTCCGTTGAAATTGCGAGGAGACCAGTAGAAAGCAGCATTGTGGCGGTTCTATTTTGACTTGCTACTGGCACAAAAGGAGTGTGAGTAGAGAGGATGAACTTTCGGTGGATTACCGGTGATTCTGACTAATTCTATCCCTACTGATTCGAGCGAGGACAGACAACTGAGGGCTATATCGTGTTGATTTTCACGTACCTTGTGATAGACTTGCTGCATGGGAGCGGTAAAAGTGTGAATTTTTTAGGAAGTGTTTCAATATTTGTGGACGGAAACAAACACACTGCTTATAAGGTAGGCAAACATGTTATGAATTTTGTTGTTAATTGGGTATGAATATATTGGATGTATTTTAACAAGGCTTTTGCAAAAGTTAAATATTGTTTGCTTATAGTGAGGTGTATGCACAGTAATGAAGTTTGAGCAATATGGAAATTCCAGTTAATGTGACAGATCTGAGCACATTATATGATATATATTGGGGGAAAAATAACATTACAATATTTTCGAGACACATGAATATGCTTTATATAGAATAATTACATGAAGTTGAAAAATACGAAATCTACTGTGTTTTGTGTGTAGGGTGAAGTTAGGTTTGACATTAAGGAAACTAGAGTTGAGGTAAGCCTGGGGTATCGTTGCGTTACCAGCATCCCAACATGCCAAACATTTATCAGAGTTGTAAATTATTTTCATTGTATACACGAGGAAGACTGCTAATTCGAGGGATATAATGGCACGTTACCAGCATAAACGTAGGTACAGTGACGAGGTAATTTCATTGATCATAATTGTAGATTTAGACTTTGGGGTATTTAGTTCAGCTGGTTAATGACAGACCTTGTTATAAAGTACACAATTTGGGTAATTATAGTAATGAGTTGTTGGACCAAGTTGTTTTGCCTTTTAGATAATTCCACACGGTTTGTTTATTATTGTAATTAGTAGTAGTACCCCTACCCAAGTATACAATATATAAACCCGATTATTGTTGTTATTTCAATAATTAATAAGATATTGTTGGTACAGTGTGGGCCATATTCTTTCATGGGAATGAACTTTGTATATTTTCCGGCAAATGAAGTTGGTGAAAATGATTAAGTAATTATTGTTACCTTGTGATGAAATGTTTACAAGATATTCCCAAAAGGGATGTGTTCATTAAACTCAGGCCTGTTTTAAATAGGCCTGTTTAAGCAGGGAGTTTTTTTCAATTATTTATTTCCATAATGTTAAAAGTAAATTTGAAAGACTAATGATAACAATAGATGACACACAGAGGGGGTTTTAAAATGGTGAACCTTGTCAATTTTCTTATGTAATTCATGTCATTTGAATCACCTTAAATCGCTTGCCGGCTGGCCGTGCAAGTACATTTCGTGTGGGGGCTTGTAGTTTCAAGTTTGTATGAGTATTTATGTGCTGCAGTAAATTAAGGTGTTGGTGTATTTCACTAAATAGGCCGTGTTTCTAACACTTGGTGAAGTATTTTGTTACCTTGTGATGAAATATTCACAAGATGTTACGAAAAGAGATGTGTTCATTTAAGAACCCTTTATGTTTAAGCAGGCGATTTTCTTGAAAATGCTTACTTATTTCCGTAATGTGAAAAGTAAAATTGAAGTTTCTGGACTCTTTTAACCTTTACAGTGTCAGTTGGCGAGGCGAGAGTTGACTAAGATGATTACCAGTGAATCGTGCCAGGTGCCAGATGCGAACCAGATACTTTGGAAAAATTGCCTATTTTGAAAATTGGAAATACTGTTGCGTTGATATGAGCTATGCTAGTGGTGAAACGGGAGTATGGCGACACTGTTGTATCCATGCTCAGTGAAGCGGTGATAAAATCACACATTCAACCAGCGCAGTAGAATATATGCAAGTATTAAATTCTGTTTCATGTGCCATATTTTGTGTAAGCAATGGGTGCAGGCTTTGTTTTTCTTTCAATTATTTGTGTGCCAACAGACCATATATGAATACTGGCCACAGTGAATTTGTGGTTTGCACAGATGCGCGTGTTTACATGGATGACGTGACATCAAACAGCTAATCTATGTTATGGCCGTTTAATGAATACATAGTTCTAAATAATGGTGCTTTTGTGACGGAAATGATTTGTAAAACAGCGTGCATACAGCGATAACTTGAATCACTTTGAGAGCATTTCGCGCAGTTTTCTAAATATGACTCGATTGCATGTGTTATTTCTATACTCATGCCAATAATGGTTGTCACCCCTTAATTTTTTTAATTGGAGAGGGGGTGTGGGTGGGTTGTGTGAGGTGTGTGGGGGTTGGGGTGACAACCATTATTGGCATGAGTATATTTGTTTAACAGTGTGGTAATCCATGCCAGTAATTTTGCATATTGTGCGGTGTGAGAATGGACTGTTTTAAGGTGTTGAAATGGATACTAGATTAAGAATCCCTTTCTAATATTTCCAGCACGGTTAACTCTGTGTGGGGGTGGGGGTGGGGGTGTCTGACATATAGTGGTCTTCACAGGGATGTTTTCCACCTGCGGGTGTGTGTGGGCCATACTAAGTTTATAAGTACTGGATTTTCCACTTATAGGCATTTACAATTACCCAAAGAACCGATAGATATATTTATTATAGGTATTTACTTAATCAATAGGATATTAGAATATTGAGCTTTGAAATAAAATGCTGAAACATTATGACTGATGGCTGGATGTATAATTACTGAAACTGAGTACTGACGTGGTTATTAGTATGGCTGTGTTTCTTTGTGGCTATTTTCTTTAATTTGAAGCAATTTACACACACATTGTGAGGGATTAACGTTATTTGACATGCAGTTGGAATGGGGGTGGGGGAAGAGTATGTTTTGTGTCTCACTTTGATGTGTTTCTTCGTGTGACAGGACTGGAACCATTAACTGTAACCAGATGAGGGGGAGCGGACATGATATTCCCTGATGACTACATGGAGGTAAAGGGTAAGTGTATGTTTAATGTTGAAGGATTACATCAGTTGTAAAATGCGAACTCCCCTGTGTGTTGTACTAGGGACAAGTTGGGTGTGCCATTCAGGAAAGTTATTGTGTTGTTGAGTTGTTGTGAGCCTCGTGGATTGTTCCTCCAGAACTATTTCAAATTTTTCAGCATATATGGAAAAATATTTATAAGGAACAATGTAATAAACACAATTGTTTATTTGATTCAGCTGGTTAATGGCAGGCCTGGTGATAAAATTGTAAACAAAATTGGGGTGAATTTTTGTGTGATGATGCCCCCAGATGGCGTCAGTAGTTTTCTTTTTTCAATTATTCCACGCTTTTTTCATTTTTCTGTGAGTATAGGTATTGTGTCTGTATCCAATAACAGTACATAGATTATTGTTGTTTCTTCATTTGTGGACACTTGTTGGTATAGTGCTAGACTCCTTTGTTCTCTGGGATGGAACTTGGTATGTTTTCCGATAATAAATATGGTAACAAATGATTATGTACTTTCCTTTGTTTCCTTGTGTTAACCTATTGCCAAAGACGACATTTCCCCAAAAGAGATGTGTGCATTTACACTGCATTATATAGGCCTACGTGGTTAAGCAGACAATGTTTTATTCTATAATGTATTTCCTCAATGTAAAATATTGGAAAAAAACAAGTTTCTGGGCTTGATTAAACTGACCTGTGTTGGTTGGCGGAAATTGGCATAAACTTATGGTCAGTAACTTCTGTCAGGTCAGGACCATATACTTTCTAGAAAACATTGCCAGAAATAATTCGGAAATTGTGCAAACCTGTTGTGTTGGTGGTGAAACGGGGGTATCGCGACAGTGTTGTAAGCATGACCGCAAAGCGGTCATAAAATATATACTGTTGGCAGATTGTTCATGCATAATATTCGTTATTATTTGGGATTTATTTTATATTTTAAAACTATATTCGTGTACAACATTTGGCGATGCATCATAGATGACTGTTTGGGCTTATTTAGCCACCTGACACTTTTGGCAGTGATGGAGGAGAATTGGCACTGAAACGTATATTTACGTTACTGTATTTACATGACGATATATGATCTGAACTGTTCGTATGGTAATATCTTTGAAACATTGTGCTATGACCTGCTCATAACCACTTCCGTTAATTCTTGTTTACACGTAAAACACATTGGGAAATATTTTTATAGGTAATTGTAGTATTTACTTTTGTACATTGTAATTTCATTTCTCACGTGCACTTATTTGATGTGTAAAGGCAGCACTAATTGGCACATTGTGTTGCACATTTCATTTTGTGTTTTGCAAATAATGCAAACTACCCAAAGAGCCGTTAATAAAAATTAACTTAGAAAACTGTTTTGTATTCCTTCGGGAAGGAGTGTACACAGTTAAAAGATTGATAGATAAGAAGAAGCAACTACAGTTAGACAGCAGAAAACAAGAAATAAGATTCATCGGAAAGGTGCTCCAAGGGCGAAGGATACAGATGAGGTAACCAACCCTACCCCAGCACAGCTAACCCTAAGGATTGTAAAGGGGTGATTTATAGGAAAGGGGATCCAAGGGCTAAGGGTACAGATAGAGGTACCCCACCCTAACCCTAACCCTAACCCTAACCCTAAGGATTGTAAAGGGGTGATTGATAGGAAAGGGATCCAAGGGCTAAGGATACAGATAGAGGCATCCTGCCCCAGCCCCAACACAACTAACCCTAAGGATTGTACAGGGTCTGATTAATAGGAAAGTGCGATCTAAGGGCTAAGGATACAGATAGAGGAGTACCCCACCCTTATCCTAACACACCTAACCCTAAGGATTGTAAAGGGTGATTGATAGGAAAGGGGATCCAAGGGCTAAGGATACAGATAGAGGCATCCTGCCCTTACCCTAACACAGCTAACCCTAAGGATTGCAAAGGGGGTAATTGATAGGAAAGGGATCTAAGGGGCTAAGGACACAGATGTCTCCCTTTTACAGACATTGGAGGAATCCTGACAGCAGACATGTAGCCTTAGTAATATGCTAATGAGACACGATCGAGAGTTTGTCACATAGGAAGACAAGGTAAAAGTTTTGTATTTGAAAATTGTGTCTTGGTAATGACCAAAATATCAACACGTGTTGTGTAACGCAGTTAGCAAAGCATTAACCACGGTTGTTTAATTCAGCAGAGTGACTGGAGCAGCTGCATCTAAGATAAAAGGGAAAACAGGACTTTGTGTGGACATATTGAATTCACAAAATCAATCGAGAATGCAGTTTGGCATGAGGCAGTGCTGTAACCTGCACCATTACACAGGACAGATAGATGATGGTGCTTCTTGAGGCTGCAGTGTGGCATGAGGCAGTGCTGTAACCTGCACCATGACACGGGACAGATAGATGATGGTGCTTTTGAGGCTGCAGTGTGGCATGAGGCAGTGCTGTAACCTGCACCATGACACAGGACAGATAGATGATGGTGTTTGAGGCTGCAGGAGGCAGTGCAGTAACCCGCACCATGACATGACAGATAGCTGATGGTGCTTCTTGAGGCTGCAGTGTGGCACAAGGCAGTACTGCACCATTGACACAGGACAGATAGATGATGGTGCTTCTTGAGGCCGCAGTGTGGCATGAGGCAGTGCTGTAAATTTACACCATTACACAGACAGATAGATGATGGTGCTTCTGAGGCTGCAGTGTGGCATGAGGCAGTGCTGTAACCTGCACCATGACACAGGACAGATAGATGATGGTGCTTCTTGAGGCTGCAGTGTGGCATGAGGCAGTGCTGTAATTTGCACCATTACACAGGACAGATAGATGATGGTGCTTCTTGAGGATGCATAGCCTTAAACGTGTGTGTTGTAGCAATTGCCATGCCGTCTATGATCATGTTGAATTACATGTCAGTATATTCTCAGCAAATATAGAAACCACATTGCCAGTTCTCAGTTCCAATCCAATTGCATGGACTATTCAAATGATAAATAATGTACCAGACGCATTATTTCCATTTTATTTGTCAATGGTTTGAAATATAGCAATTTAATAGCTACTTATTTCACTTGACCTGTATTTCATGAAGTATTCCTACATGTACAGAGACAATCAGTTTTCTGGGATAGACGCGATGTTAAGCAGGAGTATCATCGCAGTTGATTACATACAAATATGCCCAGGTGAACAGCCGGAAATATGGCTGCCAGTCAATACCAATGATTCAGAAAAATTAGACATGCGAGGACCTGATTCCATGAAAACGACTGGCCTAAATAAATTAGTGAAATTAGCAATTTTATGAAAATTGCGTTTCCATGGTGACGTGAAAGTGCGTTATAATACTCCAGAAATTCCCCTCAAGCACCCGCTATGTACAGAAGTACAGGTAAGCCTCCCACCTGCATGGACGTCTGTATGTTGGATGTTTTTAAGTCGCTCTCAGTAAATCAAGTAAATTGAAAAAGCGGCGTAATATATATATATATATATATATATATATATATATATATATATATATATATATATATATATATATCAAAACATAAATCATGGCGCTGTAGGTAAAAAACCCATCCCATACAAACCAGTTAAGTTGATACAGAGTGAAAGTGAGTGAGCGGTCCATTTTATATACCCAGTAGTGAGTAAGAGACCTGCTCACGTCAAGTTGAGCAACAATATCGCCATACTGCGTAATGCGACCCATCCTTACAAACCAGTGGACGATAGAGTGAGGAGGAGTGATAACATTTATAATGCGTGGTCTCCTATCTCCGTAAAAGAGCAACAATACTCTCAGTGGCACTCTCTCTCTCAGGTTCCTTTCAAGATTTCCTCAGTTATTGAAAGTTGTTCACACATTGTACTTATGTGGGGAATCGAACCTCGGTACTTCGGGACTGAAAGCTTTAACCTCCCCTGGTTACCCCACTGTTCCGGATGTTTTGAAGCCATGTTGAGCTATACAGTGATGGCTAAGGAAGTCAGGAGGAGTACAAGACAGGTAATCAGGAGGGTGTGAACTCCCCTTGTTCCTCCTGTAGCGACATTGTAGATGCCACCATGCTGTACCATAGAGCACCTAAAACCAAAGAAACACTGATGTGCTGGTACCATATAACCCTATGTGGCACAAATATCTCATGTATTCATACATTACGGCAAACGCCAAGTCACCTACAAATAGGGGCCTGTTTTGGGATAAAAACATAACGAACGAAATATATGGTGAAAAAGGGCCGAAAATGTCTCTTTACAACTCTGTTTGGAGAATGTGGACCAGGTTGTCATAGAGCATCCAGGACTTGGAGAAACATGCTGGTAACACCATACAACCCCTATGTGGCAACAAATATCATGATGTATTCATGCGTTAGAGGAAACGCTAGTCATCTGGCCATTAGGGCCTGTTTGGGGGCTCAAATATATAATGAACGAAATATGGACAAAAGGGTCGAAATCTATCTGGACGGATGGTTTGTAGAGGTGGACCAGTAGATGTTCAAACTTAAGAGGAAATATGTATTGAACCACACATTGCCATATGTATTCATGCACTTTAGCAGGCACGCTAAGACAACCACAACAGCGGGTGGCATGTTAGGAGTCTGAGGAAGCGAACATAAAACATTTACAAAAACTCAACTTTTAAAACCAAAATAGTCAGTGACCTGCCGCTCTTACCAGATGAGCCGACCAGCTAAATGGTAAGCGGTAGCGGGCTCAGAATAACAACAAAAGTTCGACCTCAGATCATGGAACCCGTGTTGTATCGAAAAATTGCTGGTTGTTGGCAATGTTAGCGGAAACATTTCAATTGGAGACAACTCAACACCAGGAGAGCGACATTTCGATTCATTAAATAGGAACATCAGAGCCACCGTTTGGAGCCGATCAATCACCGACTGCATGTGGCAGACCTTTGTAGCGAACACATTGAATAATACAACATCATCATAACATGCGTCATATTTCCTGTTATAAGTTCATACCTAGAAGATGCTCAGCTACCAAAGCGATCCATAGTATTAATCAAAGGCAGAGACACAAGACATAATTTTGATTGTATTTTGTGTACTAAAATCGGAAATCAGCTTTATAACTTCTTTAATCTGTTTCTGACACAAGTAGTGGCGACAAATTTTCTAATCTGTGGCAGTGCAACATTGAAACAGGTTGTTGCACAGTGATTGTTAGATTGTGAACATGTAACAACAATGGAAGTGAATAAAACCCCATAGCGCACTGGCTCGAGGCTGAACAGCCTTTATTGCTACCAATGACGTCACACCAACTCACCACAACACCCTCCCCATTTCCCGTTAATTTGCCTGAACTCTCGATTTTCCTCACCTCACCAAAACCCACGACTACCATTGTAGAAATAAACCCGTCAAAATCATCAGTAGACGAAACATTGACAAATGGCCGAAAATGTCCCTATACAGATGGTTTTGAGAGATTGTGGTCTTACTCCCCGGTACCATCGAAGCTACGGCTAACCGCCGATATATTCATGTTAATGATGTCGCGTTTTGTATTTCTTTGAAAGATCCGTAGGTAATAAAAGGCAACAGGTGACATCCTCGGACAACGTGCTGCAAAGGTTCATGCGAATCCAAACATGTTAGGATTCCGAGGCGTGAAAACAGACAATAATATGGATAACCGATCGATGGACGGACACATCGACGCGTCTCAACATCAACTGTACTAGATGTAAATTCGGGTTCAACCAAACAACGACAGACGGATTGATAGCGGCGATTACGTGTCGGACAAATTAGCCGTATTCGGGCAAACCAATCACTTGGAGAGTAGCGATGGAGGATTTGGGTGGGGATTCCGTGTCCCCAGCATCCCTATCTGGTAGATCCGGAAGGGACAAAGCTTTGGATCTCCAGGTGACATTACCACAGTTTGTGTTTAAGGCCGGACAAACTGCCACCGATTTTCATGTACTATTCCCATATCTACTCAAAGGCATGGCGGAAAGGTCCATCCTCACCAAGACAAACATATAATTTTCAATGAAGGAAAAATGAAAACAAAACGTGGATTCCCATAATGGGAACCGTATTCAAAAGAATAGTGACACCAGAAGGTCTCTGCGCACAGACCGGCACCCATAGTCAACTAAGGTCACAATGGTTCTAATTCTCTTCATTTCTACCACAAACGTCTAAGCATGAGAGAGAGGACATCATGACGTTTGTTACGTTTACTAATATATATTGCGGATCACGAACAAATGTTGCAGGGCCGCTTATTTGTAATATTTTTCACCACTAATGTTCTTGTAAAGATGTCAATTTACTACCGTCACTGCCACACAGGGGTTACATCACACACAGCAGCAAAAGTAATCTGACCCAAGTCTACACCACACACTGGCAAAGTCTAGATTGCTCGGGGCTCTTTTGGGGGCATATTATTATTATTATTCCAGGGTCCACTCTACATGAATGCACACTATGGAATGGTGCAGTGGCGACGGGCATGTTTATAACCCCGGTGATATTGTGATGCACAACGAGGCATGGATGCGTGTAGAGTCCGGTAAACATACACACGCACGCACGCGCACGCACACACACCTACCAGGGTTCCCTCCTGTAAAGTGGGTTTGATTCCGGCGTGCTATACACTGGTGGTCAACAATGTTGATCAGAACGTAAGCATAAAATGGGTACCAGGTTGGATAAGTCATAAGACTATTAACCTTCTGCGCCTCATGGGCAGCTGAGGTCATGCAGGCCTAGGGTAATAATAATGCCCACCATGTGTGGGATGTGCGCTTAGGGCATGCCTGTAGTGGGGGCGCTATATAAATTGCCCCATTAATATTAACCGGTAATGTCAGTAACAATGTTTTCATTGTTGAAATTAGTGGTGGTCTTTTGCTTGGCAATAAATGACAAATTATTAAAATTATATTTAGATTTATGCTTCCAAACCATATGATTTGATTAGTCAGTCTTATCTAAATTGAGAATCTCTTCAAACTATATACCAAGACAAAATTACTCAGTAAGGGTGTGTCATCAGTCGCCTTGTAGGAATATATGATCTTCAAAAGTAGAAAAATTGTATTTCCATAAAAATCTCAAATCGGGTCAACTGTACTGTTCTATACTGTATTACACATCCCAAATATACTGGCATACCACTGTATTACACATCCCAACATACTACATACTACTCTGCACACACATCCTCAACACATACCACACATACCAATTAGTAGATTGTCATGATCAGCACAGAAAGGCCCATCCAACATACCACATATACACTGCCTCAGACTGTCATGATCAGCAACAGAGCAAAGGTTATTACATATCAACCTGTTCAAGTGGTAAACCCACTAAGCAAACACGCCCATTATTTCGAGTTTATCATAACCCAGCTACAGAATAACTCATGATCAGACAGAGAGAGGGGAGAGGGGGAGACAGAGAGAGAAGAGAGA